GTTGCTGACTGGTATCTTCGTCGTCGTTGCGTCGGTCTTCGTCAGCCGTCGTTGTGCTGCCACGCCCCCTTCTGGCAGAGGGCAATGAGCGGGTTCTGATCGCCGACTTTTCGCGGTCTGCCTCAGTCCCGCAACAGCCTACCCGGCCTTGGTAACCCGGGCGACGACCGAGCCGGTATAATTTTCGATGGCGTCAGTACCATTAGTGGTAGGTGGCTGAATTTTACGGAGATTTGCCACTGTCTCCAATTCTCCTCCTTTCTCATCCGGGCTTGGGACCGGCAATGGCGAAGTTATGACTTTTGTACAATATGTAAATTTTGTAACTGATTGCAGTGTTAAAGTTTGCATTCTTGTTGCTGTTTCGGAAATTAAATTCAGTTTTCATCTTTGAAATTAAATTCCGTATCGCATGAAGTTATGTGTCCGGTTTTTTTTATATTTCGTTTTAATATTTGTACCTACTGAGCTGCAACGAACGCGTTTGCTAAACATCTGTAGAACGCATTCCCACGTCGCTTGCTCTGTGTGGATGGTGCAGCGCTGAGCAGCGAAAGCGAAAAAAAGAACAAAGGCAAAGGTCAAAGCACGAAGTTTAGTCTTCGAGGAAAACGGATCTCCACATAGCAAAGCTTGTCGAAAACTAACTCTGCTAGATTAAACAGCTGGTTTTTCGACGTGAAAGGTAATCTCACAAGTCGAGTAGGCAGGAAATATGGCTCAAAGTATGGTACTGCCAGAGAAGTGAAGAATGAGATGATCAAAGAAACGGTGGGTCGATGTTTATAAAGGATGATATGCTATGAAACTGCGACGAGTTACCGATAATTTTTCCAAAAATCGACGAATGTAATACTAACTGACAAGAACAACGAAGACCTCTGTTAGAGGGAATACAATGGGACGGAGAAGGATATCTGTATTTATATTTGACAGCTCGATTTTCAAAAATAGGTTTCGAATTAATCAGGTTTTACAGTAGCTTTTTCCCTATTTTGTCATTGAGTCTGTATTTACGTATAGTATGTTTGGTTTTGTAGTTTATTAAAGGACG